TCACGTTCAATCTAAACCTCCCCTGGCGCAACTTGAGGCCATTTCCTCTCATCCTATCGCTAGTTACTTATGAGACAGTTGGCAGAAGACAAACCATAAAGCAACACATTGGGGTGCAAAAGCTATTGTAAATGCCTTAAAAGATCAAGTACTTAGCATAAGGATGACAGAAATTGTTAAAAGTATAGTGGGTAAGTGTGAAATCTGCTTACAAAATAATCCACATTCCTATAAAACACCCCCTTAGGACTTATAAAAAAAGGAAACGGTTCTGGAGACTACTGGCAGATAGATTTTGCTGAGTTACCTCGACAAGAAGGATACTGGTATTAGCTGGTTCTAATTGATACATTTTCTAGATGACCTGACGCCTTTCCCTGTTGCACCAACAAAGCTAGGGAAGTTACTAAGGTATTATTAAAATAAATAATACCCCAATTTGGGGTTCCCTTTGGAATGTCATCAGATAGAGGACCACATTTCACAGCAGAAGTTGTACACAACTTGTCTAAAATATTAGGGATCAGGTGGGATTTACACACCCCATGGAGGCCACAATCCAGTGGGAAAGTTGAAAGAATGAATCAGAGTCTGAAAGGACAAATGAGCAAAATTTGTCAGGAAACATCACTTAAATGGCCACAGGCTCTTCCCCTGGCTTTATTGAGAGTCAGAACTCAGCCAAATTCCAAGGAAAAGGTGAGCCCGTACGAGATCCTCTATGGGAGACCTTATCAAGTTACCATCATTCCTGGGGAAAGCCAAGTAAAAGGAAATCATGATTTAAAGGAGTATGTAATATCTCTGGGAAGGATATCATCTTTACATCAATTTATTGTTTTAGCTTCTCCAATAACTTTGGACGTCCAGGTACATCCCTATCATCCAGGAGAGTGGGTATATGTCCAGACGTGGGGAGATGAACCACTCAAAGAGAAATGGAAAGGACCTTTGCAAGTTCTTCTGACTACCCATACAGCGGTAAAGGTAGACCAAATAAATTCATGGGTACATTTCACTTGGATAAAACCAGCTCCAGAACCGAACGAACCTCAGTGGAAAATAAAATCGGCAGAAGGTCTGTGGGTAAAACTGACAAAGAGACAATGATGCTGTTTGTGTTGTACATTCTAGAGTTGGGTGTATTAAAAGGGGCCGCTGTTATTGTTGGGGTTGGATATGAAAATACCTATGAGAATTTAAAGATAAGCTTTGCAAAGGCGGTGAATATGACTGATTGTTGGGTATGTTCACAAGTAATGACAAAAGGGACAGGATTTCCTCTTTGCAAATTCTTCTGACTACCCATACAGCGGTAAAGGTAGACCAAATAAATTCATGGGTACATTTCACTTGGATAAAACCAGCTCCAGAACCGAACGAACCTCAGTGGAAAATAAAATCGGCAGAAGGTCTGTGGGTAAAACTGACAAAGAGACAATGATGCTGTTTGTGTTGTACATTCTAGAGTTGGGTGTATTAAAAGGGGCCGCTGTTATTGTTGGGGTTGGATATGAAAATACCTATGAGAATTTAAAGATAAGCTTTGCAAAGGCGGTGAATATGACTGATTGTTGGATATGTTCACAAGTAATGACAGGAGGGACAGGATTTCCTTGGAAAGTCATCCCCTTAAGTTGGCCTGAAATGTGTTCCTTTTGTTGGTTAACAAAACAGAACATAACTGCATCTGATGTAGTGTATCAAAACCGTACCCTGATGGTAAATCAAAGTATGATCAACTTTGGCAATCAGCCAAGTTATTTTCCCACTGAAAAACCTCAGCCCATATTAGTACGAAACCATAGAGAGCAAGGGTTTGAGTGCTTCAGTATAAACAAAAATAATTCCTGGCAACAACCAGGGAAAGCTGGAAACAGTACTTGTCAATATTATTTAACACCTACCCAAAATGCCACCATACAGTTCCTCCATCCGAACGGCACATCCGACCAGTTTGTTGATTATATCCTTCCGTCTATGAGTGAACTGCGGAGCAAAGGGAAGGCAGCTTTGATTGCCAATTCCGGAACCTATTGGATATGTGGAGACAGCGCATACAAATGGCTTCCTTCCGGATGGTACGGTTCCTGTTATATGGGAACATTGGCCCCACCCTTTACAGTTACAAAAACTTTACCTGAAGGATGCCCTAGACACAGAAGGATGATAGACACTAGCGATTGACCGATAATTAGTGAGGGGAATAGGTTCTTGTATGTAATGTGCCCCATGTGTGCAGCTGGAAAGTATGGAACATATATAAGTAAGTTGAGCGCTTTAGCTGAACGATTGGCTAATGACGCTGTTGAAGTATTAAATAGCACTTCATTCGAACTACTGCAAGTCAGGATGAAGACTTTACAAAACAGAATGGCTTTAGATTATATATTAGCTAGTCAAGGAGGTACTTGTGCTGTCATAGGGAAAGAGTGCTGCAGTTATATAGAGGATGATTTTAAGATTCAACACTCCAGAGTATCATCAATTGAGAGGGTTGTGCAAGAATGGAAAAAGACAAGAGAAAAATCCTGGTGGAACTGGGATTGGCTCGCTTCCTGGTTACCTAACCTACGGTGGCTTAGGAAAATAGTTTCAGTTATAGTGGGAATAGTAGTAATGTGTATATTGAGTTGTGTTATGATACAGTGTGTCCCTTTATTCACTCTATATTGTAAAGTCTTATGTAGAACTCCAAAACAGAACATGTATTACTACAAACATGAATTATGAGACTCCCAAGAAAAGAATCTTGGAAGTATCAAAGGGGGGAATTGTTGTAAATAGTTGTAAGATAAAATGTTGGATTAATCAAGCATGTGTCAAACATACAAGGCCAAAGCTAACGAGTACATCACATACAAGGCCACAGTTAACGAGCACATCATGAAAGACAGGTAAGTACTAGCAGAAACCGGACAAGGACAACCAAAACTGTGGCAAACAGCAGTGATGAGCCAATTTGTGACCATATAAGGAGAAGGGCCCAAAGGTTCAAGAAAAGTTCACCTCCTGCAGAGATCACGAGAGACCACCAGAGACCACC